TCTATGTTGTTCAGAGTCAATATGTATAACATGTTGACTGAAACCGTATGGCAGCCAAGATATTCAATTTAGTCGTGGTTTTATCAATTTTTGCCCACTGTGCAGCGGTTTGTTATGGCGTGAAAATCTCTATATAGCTGTTACATTGAACAATGAAAAACAAAACGCGTTTTTAAACCCCAACAAGATTCTCATATCCGGATTTTTTCGTGTTCAGCCTTTATGTCATCAGGGATGTAAGTGTGCAATGGAAATAATGATTCTTTAATTCTAAATTTTGAATAGCTCGAGGCGAAAAAAGAATCGCGTGAAACCTGAATTGAGTGTATGTTACTGTTAAATTGTTGAATTCAGCATTCACTATTTCAGTGCCAACATTTCAAAGGGGCGTAATTGCATTTGTAAACAATGGCTTTAGCCGTCGATTTATCGCGAATAAAAGCTCACTCATGAAAAATAATGACACCAGAAGGTAGAGGAATGTTTCCTCTACCAGCTAGCATTGTAATTTTGGAGAGGTAAGATTTCATTCGCGAGAAATTGATGGCTAAAGTCATTGTTTACAAAAGCAATTACGCCCCTTTGAAATGTTGGCACTGATTTGATAGATTTTAAATTGAAAACAGATAAAAGACAAACTCAAATGAGGTTCGGTTTAGCTGTCAAAATTTTGCAACATCAAAATGTAATATGGCGTCAGACCAAGGGGTAAGTCACTCAGCACATTATGCCGCAATTAGATTCGGCATCCATCGACACACCTTCGGCACAATCTCGTAAGCATTTGATTGTTGTAAATAAAATGGGAGCACTGATGGTCACTGAAGTTGTTCACAACATTACGTGCTGTTTGGATGTATATTAAGCAACGTCTTCTAATTAAATATACCAGAGAAACTCAGACCAGCAGTTCAGTTCTCGGTTCACTCGCACTCGGTTTACATCCGAAATGCCGCTAGACCGATTTATCCCATGGATTTCAAACCAAAACTTTCAAGGTGTCATAAATACCGGGTTGCCGGAATGGGTATTTTACAAACAATCGCAGCTTCCTCTATGATCGGCACAATCGGCACACTGAAAAAAAAGATGACCCAAGATTGGTGTGCGGAGTGACCCACCCCATGTGTCAGACGCACTTTGAAGTGTTCTAATCCGTTTTTTTAAAGATGAAATGCAATTTAACTAGCGAAATACTGCTTCGCTTACAGTAAAACAAACATTATTCAGTTACCGAAAGTTGATTGTACATGTTTGGATCCTAATTTAAATGAGATAGGAACTGAATTTTTATCATTTTAAAATGATTCTTCAATTAAGGATACTGAGTGTCGCCTATTTCCATAACTTTGAATATTGAATTGAATGTTTGTTAGTGAATGATTTTTTTTTAAATAATTACATTACATTTGGTTGCAAATTAAAACCACACGATCCTACAAATTGAGTATATTTCAGATTTGTCCAGAATTGTATATTTCATCTGTATCAGATTTCCCTGGCAACGCTGTCTGTGACAACTGTCAAACATTCCGCTGCCCATCCGCTTTCGCTCGCATTGCGTTTGGACCTTAAAACTTTCCAAGTCTTCAATTTTCTCATTTTTCTCCCGTTTAACAAACCCTGCAAACAAAACGACCAGCAATTACTTGAGACTGACCAATAACCGGTGGCACACACTCGCTCCGGAGCGCGCTCATCCATATTCACACCACACCGCGACAAGACCAACGAAAGACCAGACACACACACACGTATTTCATTTGTTATTATTAGACATAGGACACGCCAAAGTAAAGGGAGAAAGGCAGAAGAGGGGGACACGCGAGCACGGCGACAACAAACAAACACTCCGCGCACCGGTCAACCCAGCGGGGAGCCTTTTCACTAAAAAATGGCTTCCTGGACCGCCGCCGCGCGGCCGACCAGCCCTGACCGACCGTTCAACAGTTTGTGTGTGGCTATTTTATGCTAATGAAGTCGAGACACGGAGAGGGGGAATTCGATTCCTCCCGAGACAAAGTCGCAATGCAACCGTGATGGCATTTCTTTGACGCACTTTTCGGCGATCCTGTTCCTGCTCAAGAGCCCGGGGGTTCAACGACCTCCTAATTGGCGCTGGAATCCGGGAAATGGGAAAGCGGAACGGGTTTAGGTATTTGCTAAACTGCATCACAATCGAAGAATGCGGAAATGTAAACAACTCGCTTGGCCTCTGCTACAATGTATTTGCTCCTCGGCTATTGACTAATCTCTAATAGCAAGCGAATGGACGAACGCGAATGTGTTTCGATGGAGTTGTGTGATCGTAGCAATCGACAACGGTAACAGCTGCCCCCGATGGCAGCTGTGAACTTTGATGGGTGTTGTTGTTGTTGTTGTTGTCGCTATCGCGGAATTCTAGGGAAGCGAATCGTTCTTCGATTGAATTGGGATTCGAACTCGCTGCCCCAGGGTTGAATTCCCATGGAAATGAAATCTTTTGGCAAGTTTGACACCTCGACAACCATAACAACAACAAGTGTGTGAAGTGAGAGAAATGCCATTGCTGCGTTTCAGAACAGAGAAAGAACCAAAGAGCAAAGCGGAAACTTTCAAAAACAAACAAATGGAGAGGTGAAACAAGTCAGCCAAAAGTGACTGAACTTTCCAATGTTTACCCCCGCGCACCGATCGTCATCGTTGTCAATGATGTCGAGACGGGTGGCGATGGTTGTAGCACAGACAACCAGACATAGCACTCTTAAAATGTTCATGGAAATGGCTTTTAACGGTTAATTTAAATGTTTCTTAGTTGGCCACTTGCGTTTGACGTTTACACACTACAGCCATCTGTTGAGCATATTGCCCATTACAGTGATTCAATGAGTTGCGTCTGTTTATCGGTGGTTGTAGCTCGTTGAATGTCTGGCTCGGTTTACTCCCAAACTGAGATCTCAGAACGGCTTGAAGCGAACAAAGTCTCCGGGACTGCTTGCTCACTGACGCAGAGCAGTATGTGAAATTTCGGGCCGAAAAATTCACCCAACGGCTGAGCGGTGCAATCGTAAACATGCCAAGTGGGCAGTCCCGCCATAACCACAATTGATGCATTTTGCCCCGCCGCCACATTGCGGAATCAATGTATGCGGGAAACATACAACCGCACACCGCACACTACTGATCTCCCCAGGGGGTGACCTGAAGTCCGCCGCCGAGCCGGTCTCGTCTACATGGGAACGTACGCGATCGCGTACGGGAACGGAAACGTGAACGAGTTTTGGAATTTTCAACATCATCGTTCATGATTCACACACAGCACTGCTGCTGCCGCGTCTCGAATGCTAATTTTCCGTATCCCGGAGAGGGACCATCCACGAAATGCGACACACATTCCAGACTCTGCTGGCTGCTGCAGTCGGGCACGGTAAAAAAACAACACTAAGTGCAACATTCTTCCAGAAGTCAATGCTCGGAAGTGTCCAAAGTTTGGTGCATCCCACATTGCATGGATCATTAAAAAATTGTGATTCGCTCGGAGTGGTGCACCCGGAGGAGGGAGCAGTGCGAGAATGAGCATAAATACTTTTTTGTGGTTATGTTCGTTCCAATCCAGCCGCCGTAAGAACGTCATTGACCGCCGGGTAGCAATTTTCGACGACGGAGCAGGCGGCGGCGGCGGCGGCGACGGAGGTAGTTATGACGGCGATTGCAACGACGACGCGACCACGACAACAATAACGTATTCGGCGGGTATGGCCGAGGCCGAGACGCGAGACTACATATGCGATGATCATGATGACATGGCGCGAGATTTCGAGACGTGGAGCTTTTTTGTTGTATTGTTTTTTTTTTCAGTTCTGTTTTAAGGTCTCGCTGCTGGTGGCTGATGCTGCATCAGAGTTGCAGCATCAAGTTGTAAACAAATATCCGTGCGGAGAGGAATCGATGGAAATATGTTGTCTTCCCGCGGCGTGATCAGCGCCAAAGTAGGCTGCGATTTTTGCCCGGCTTCAAAACAATGACGCGATGATCGCGGAAATGGTTCAGAATTTCCAAACTGTCAAAACCGGTTTTTGTGTGCAGATTTGTGCTGCGAAGTTTAAATTAAAAAAAATGTGATGCACCGTTTAAATTTATTATTGGAAGATTTCGATTTTTAATTTAATTGGAAATCTCTAAGCTCAAAATTCAAGCGACGAACCCTCATTTTAAGCTCAAATTCAACTTCCAAAAACCACTGATTGGTATTCTACTCGGTCCCCGTTTCAAACCGACCCCAAATCGTTCAAACAGTACTCGACATTAAAGCCCTCAATATGCATCCGGGATTTAACTTCGGCGGCATGCCAAACGAAGTCAATCCACAGCGCAACCGCCATGTTTTGACGTTGACGTTTCGAAGTGACTAAACTTTATAACCTCATTCTTGGAAACTATTCTCTCGCCGTTCTCCCTCTCTGTCTCTGTCTCCGTTTCGCTCGCCGTAAGCGCATACTAATCTTGCGGAGGAATGTTTACGACCGTCGCTGGCACCGCCACCGGCTGCCGTCGGTCGCCGCCATCTAAATTAAGAATTTCATTCATAACTACATTTCCATGTAAATTAGCGTGATGCATAATTGGCTCCGTTCCCGATCGAAGATGGCCTGGGCAGAATCGCGCATTCTAGTACTTCGCGCTTGCCTTTGGCGGATTCCAATGCACTGACGCTGACTTGATGACTTGTTCCGGTTCGGTGCACTATGCGCCCACCCAAGCAACGAGAACGCGAGAAATCAGGTTAACCGGCAGTGACTAATTCCGACGCTCGTATATATATTTACAGTGGAATGATTACGATTTCATTCATGCTTTGTTCACTACGTCACTTGCGTCACCACAGGAAGTTGAGTCCGTCAGAGAGAAATAGTTCGCCCATTCTACCCGCTTACCAGCTGATTCACATCGGCATTTAGAATATAGCTTCCACATGTGTTTCTACAACTTGTCTTCTCTTCTCTTTCCCTCTCTCCCTGCAGCAATATTGCCAAAATCGTAATCAGTGGAATACCGCAGCACGCCAAATTCGATGACATCGAGCCACTGCTGAAGCCGTTCGGCAAGGTCGAACACTGCGACGCAGTCACTAGCAAGGACCCGACCACGCAAACCGTCCATATCACGTTCGAGAATCACGAGCAGGCACAAAGGTGAGTCGGAACATCCCGGTGACCTAGTTTTGGTTGGTTTTCAACAATGTTCAACGGCGCTATTTACTAATTAGGATTGAGGGAGACGCGTGGTACTTAACGCCTACTGTAAAGGGCCACCCACATAAGATCCGGATCCGGACGCGTTCTGCTAAACTGACAGCTAAATCTATTGTCTAACTGTCAAATTTACGGCAACGCAACGCAAATGCATCTAATGTGGGTGGCCCTTAAGGGGTCTAGCGAGCGGCAGGGTTGCCAAAACAACAGATTAACCTATGTTTCTACAGATTTAAACCAAGAATCTGTATTCACAGATCACAAATTTTTAGGTTTTAAATAGATTATATAGATTTTTAAAATATGATCAATCATTCCAAAAAGAAAACTCAAATTGTTTAAAACACACAACTTTTATTTTCGCTTCAGAGCAATTTTCTTATCACCAACGCTTATACACCGAAACCTTCATTTACGAAAAATCGTATTTTTTTAATAGTTATCCCTGCAGGGACCGGAAATCCATGTCTGACGCCATTTTGAAATTCAAGATGGTGGTTTCCAGTTAGACAAAAACTGGGAAATACTGTGAAATACCCCAAAACATTGGTATTTTGAAATCGTGGTGACGTGTAGGGTCCGGATTTCAAAAATCCTTATATTGTGGGGTATTTGACAGTATATCAATTTTTTTTTTTCAACCTAAAGCTACGATCTTGGATATCAAAATCTCTTCAGACATGGATTTCCGGTCCCTACACGTCAACCCGATTCGAAAAATACCCATATTGAGGGGTATTTAGCAGAATTTCCAAGTATTTTGTCTAACCCGAAGCCACCATATTTGATTCCAAAATGGCGTCCGGCATCGATTTCCGGACTCTTCACGTCATCCCGATTCCAAAAATACGCATACGATAAAGAATTTTATCTCTGACGTTGAACGACGTCCTTACTTCCGGTGGAGATTGTTCAATTTGAGCTTCAACTCGAACGGGTTTAGAATACACGGACTCAAGTTCGACTTTACGCGGATTAATCATATTCGTTAACGTTCGCGGCGTATACAAGAATATCATCGATGACGGCGTACGACTCGTGATCGATAACGACTGATGCCTTTCATCGAGCAGGTATTTTTTTAAAACGTCTTTCACCGTCCTTACGCCTCTCTCGGCCAACCCGTTAGATTGGGGGTGGTAAGGTGGGGATTTGGAAACCTTAACACTATTTGCTTCGAGAAATCTTACGAAGAGTTCCGAGTTAAAGGGGGGACCATTGTCGGTGACGACCTCTTCGGCTATTCCAAAGTAAGCGAAAATCGATTCTACTTGCTCTATCATCTGCAAACTATTTGAACCTTTCATTAAGCGAACATCAATGAACTTGGAATAACCATCTACGACTATCAACAGGGTGCTACCTTCAAAATAGAACAAATCCAAGTGAATCCTTTGAAAGGGACGTTCACACTTTGGCCATTTCGATTCAACAACCTCTTTAGAAACCGCTTGACGTTGTTGGCAAACATTGCATTTTCGGACGTACTCAGACACATCTTTATCGAAATTTTTCCACCAAACGTACGACCGACCCAACATTTTCATTCTAACGATTCCATCATGGTTTGAATGTAACTGTTCTACAATAATCGATTTTAGACTATCCGGGACAACAACCCTATCATCGAAGTATAACACTCCTTCATCGATTCCTAGATGACAGCTCACTTGACAATATGATTTGAATGACAGATCAACATTTTTCGGCCATCCACTGGAGTCGTATTCCAACACTCGAGACAAAATTGGGTCAGATTTGTGGTGATAACGGACAACATCTAGATTAACAACATCAGAACCATTCGACGAGAGATTGTTCATACCCAGACCTACAATGTCATGTTCTACATCTGCTAGACCGGATAACGGAAGGCGCGACAGTGCATCAGCATGGCTCATGAATTTACCAGGACGATGCTGAATGGTGTAATTGTAACCGGCCAGAATGAGAGCCCAACGTTGCAACCTAGCAGCAGCGATAGAAGACGTAACCTTAGCTGGATTGAAGATCTCCTTGATACCGGTGTTATCTGTGACCAATTTGAAGGTGGCACCATAAACGTATTTGCGGAATTTAGTGATTCCGAATATGACAGCAAGGGCTTCTTTGTGGACTTGAGCGTAATTCTTCTGCGCGGGGGTGAGAGTAGACGACGCGAAGCAGATTGTTTTTTCGACCTGATCGACTAAATGGGACGAAACAGCTCCAACCCCATACGGACTAGCATCGACAGCTAAGATTATCGGTTTCGCAGGATCATACAGCTCGAGTAAATTGTTATCCACCAATAGCCGTTTAGTTTTCTCGAAGGCGACTTGACATTCTGATGACCACAGAAATCGACGATTTTAGGACGGAGTTTAATCGACCGATTGGGAAGGTGGAATAGTTGAGCAAGCCAAGGTACGCTTGGAGTTGGTTAACATTTTCCGGCGAAGGAGCTTCAACTATTGCCCTAACTTTGGACTCGCTAGGACGTATACCATCAGCAGTGATAGTATGACCTAGGTACTCAATCTCGCTTTATGGTCGCTCAGCTTTTGAAGAACCATAAACAAATTATGCTAGCTCCACCAACTACGATATCGTCCAGGTATGCAATACCTGGTGAATCGATCAAAATTTGATCTATGATCGACTGAAAAATTGCGGGGGCGGAAGTTATACCGAATGGCATTCGCGTGTATCGAAAAAGGTGGGTGTTAATCGTGCACAAAGACTGAGACGATTCGGACAATGGAACTTGTAGATAAGCTCCGGACAAGTCAATTTTGCAAAAAACTTTCCAGTTAGCCAACTTGGCCAGAATATCGTCGATTTGGGCAAGGGATAATGCTCGACAGTAGTATAACGGTTTAGCGCTGCCTTCCCATCGAGACAAATCCTAATCGAACCGTCTTTTTTAGGCACAACAACGATCGGATTTGCCCAAGAAGAAAAGCGAACAGGGACTAAAATGCCATCTTCAACTAACTTCTCTAAACTGTGTTCAACCTTTTCACGGAGAAGAAACGGAACCGAATAAGCTTTATGAAAAATTGGGGCAGTATCGGGCTTTAAAACTATCTCAGCGGTGAAACCGGTAATCACGTCATTCGCGGACTCGCTAATTACGTTAGGAAATCGCGTTTTCAATTCCGACTCGAAGGAAACGTCCAACTTACCCACAGACTTGACAGAAAAAATCCTTCTCCAGTCCGAGAACATCATATCAAGACCGTCTCGACCGAGTAACGGGTTTACTGCTTTGTCGGTTCAAATCACCACCAGCTCTAGCTTGCCTTGGATCCCCGAAGCTGCGGATACGCGGACATCAATCGTACCCAGCGGTTTGATTCGTTGGCCTGAAACAGAGACAATTTCCAATGCAGTATTATTTAACTTACTTTTAGCAAAATACTTCTGATACGTATCTACAGAGATGACGCTACGACAGGCTCCACAGTCAGCTTCGAATTCCAATCGACGACCATCGCAATCCAGCGATACGAACTCCGGTGAATCGACCTTATTCAATGATCCGGATGCGAGACTACTTGCTTGCTCCAGGATTGACAGACTGTCATTCGGTTGATTGGTTTGCTGTTCCACCGGCTGATGTTCAAGACTTGACAGATACGACTTTTCCGGGTCTACTAACTCGATGGGACCACCCAACATGTTCAGACGAAGGACTTCGTCGGCTTCCGACATTTCCGCGACTCGATTGCTTCCACCAGACTTCTTGGGTCGACCGACAGCATGTGGAAACATGACCAACCTTCCCACACGAGTAACACTTCCAGCTGCGTGCTGGGCACGTGTCCGGATCATGGTGAAGGCTGCACCGAAAGCAGGGTTTTGATGACTGTTGACTACGACTTGGTTTGCTCTCCTCCTTTTCCTGATTACTTCGTTTCGGTTTCGTCTTTTGATGTACATCCTTCCTAAGTGCTCCGAGCTTCTGCGGCAACTGACTCGACATCTCCTTGTTCTGACTCAAGGCTGCTTCCCAACTTCGGGCTAGCGAACACGCTTTGTCGAAGGTTAGGTCCGGTTCTGTCTGATCCCGGATGCCTGCGACGAACTGATCTCGCAGTGAATCCGACAAAAACGCTTCGAATTTGCAGGGTTGAGCGGTGGCTTTCAGGCTGATAATAAATTCCGTGATGCTTTGCGAGACGTGCTGCTCACATTTCCGGAACTTATACCTCTCAGCGACGACATTCGTGGTAGGAGCCAAATGTTCCTTGAGGAGACGAACCAGATCGTCATACGACTTTGTACGAGGATCGTCCGGGGCACACAATCTGGCAGCGATTGAATACAAGCTGGGACCAGAGACTGTAACTAACACGGGGACTTTTTTTTATCATCCGGCATGTCGTTCACAAGGAAGAACATTTCAAGGCGGTTGATATATTCTTCGAAATTCTCCCCAACGACGAAGTGCTCGATTTGGCCAAACATGCCAGCTCGAACGATAGGAACTATAGCATTCGGCTCCTGCTTAACTGCACCGCTTCCACTATCACCAGTCGACATAATGATGTTTGAGGTTATGTTTCCTAACACGTGTAAACGACCGTTTCACACTTCGCGACTTCACTTCGTACTAACGTGCGACTATTCACGTTTTATCCTCGTCGCCAACTTGGTATGTTGCGAACAAGGATGGAATCACTTTAGACAGTAGAATCAATTAAACTAGAATACTTTATTAATTAGTTATAGAATTACAATTTGTGCGTCCGCTCTGCAGGATGGTCGGATGGAAAAAAAAACCGAACTAACCTGACTGCTATAAATGTACTATAATATAAGATGAATCACAGTATACTATAGATTCATCAACTACGGACTTCCCTAGATACACTACAGTGGGGTATTTGCCAGTGTTTCCATATTTTTTTTTCTCTATCCGGCAGCCGCCATCTTGGACTTCAAAATAGCGTCAA